TCTTTATTGAACCTAAATTAAATTATAACAAAAAAATTGAATTAAAAAATTACACAAAAAATAAGAAATTTTAAATAGTTACTTTGATACTAATATTGATATATTTTTATTAAATTTTTATGATATTTTTAGTTTTATATTTTATTCAAAAATAAAAACATCATCACTTTTTCAAAATCACATGAGAGCATATTATAACATCTACTGAGATAAAAAATAAAATAAATTATTAAAATCAAAATATATCTCGTTGCATTATGCAAGTACCTCTCTAATTTTTTAATAAAATTACTTCCTCCTCATTGTCATGTTTTAATTTACCATTTACACCGACAAATTTCACTAATCTTATGCCTTTACTTGTTTTTTCTATGTACTTTTATTTGTTTATGGGTTCCTATACATTAAAGAATATGTGTACTTTTTTATTCGTTTTATTTTCAAAAATATCTATACTATCTTATAAACTAGATTTATCAAAAGTTTTAAAAACAATTTTTAATGCTCAAAGTACTATACATTTATGCACAAAGTCTTAAAAATAACTCATAATGCATTAAGTACTACTATTTTATGCATTCAATCTTAAAATCTCTTAATCTACAATTAAAATAACATATAGTACAAGTTACCAATGCACATTATTACATTTTCTTTTCATGTTCCAAGATATTTTTTACACATTTCACTCATGTTTTCACCCTCTCATACATTTATGTCTTCTCCCCATCCCCCAATGTGATATTCAAATTGATATTTACCATGAGTTATTAAAAGTTATCTCATTCAATTGCTCTGGAACTCTCGATCTCTTGATTATTTGCTCTTGATGTAAATCGAATACATTTGTAGAGTCGTTTAAATATATTAGATTTTAAATATATTGGGTTTTAAAGTGTCATACAATTTTTTTATCTATACACTGTAAGTGGAACCATAACTCTTATTTATTCAAATTGTATCAATATGTAAATATCAAGTGTAACTTATATCATCGTTAAATCTTCTCTAATAAAACCAGTGATCGTTAAAATTCACGGCTCCCGCCGCATTGCGCGGATACACAACTAGTATACATATAATTGACATTATTACGAGAGTATAAATGTATAATCACATAAGAGCATATCCAACAGGTATTCTATATTTTGTCTTTATTCTCTTTAAATTTAGAGATTTCTCTATTTTTTTTATATAAAAGTTTATCATAATTATTAGAATATTTTTTTTAATATCCAAAAATTTTAAATAGCACAGATGTTGAAAATATTTTAATTTATAAATGTTGTATGACAATAGGCTTTGATATATATATATAGGGTTGGGTTCACGTGAGACCATACTGTTTTCATGAGACCCGTGAGACCATATTTTTACACTTGAAACTTCACAGCAAAAACACTGTGAAGGTTTGAAAAAGTTGAACCTTTATAGCAAAAACACTGTGAAGGTTACCTTCACAGCATTTTGCTGTGAAGTTTCAAGTGTAAAAAACTGATCTTACGGGTCTCACAGGTCTCACGAAAATAAATTGGTCTCACGTGATCCCAAGTCTCTCTTTCTATATATATATATATATCAAAAATAGTAAATGGTTCTTGCCATCCATTCATAACTATTATAATCCTTGTACTGCTTTTTTGTTACTAGAAAGGAAACATTTATAAAGAAGCCAGCCTAATGCAACTAGGTTCAACAAAAGAGAACCCAATCATTCATTATAAGGCACAAAAAAAGAGATGCCATATCTTAATCCAAACAACATCCTACGTATCACGTCAACCAAATCAAAAACATACATATAACGTGAATAAAATCAAATAAAAAACAGACAATTAATTGAGATCATACACGAAAACAAACAGTTTGGTGACAATACTACAACGTCAAAGGTCCAGATAAAAGCTTTGGCACAGGGAGGTACCCAGGTTTTTTTTTTCAAGCGGTAGCACCGGTTGACTATAAGAAACAAGTATAGAGATTTTTCATAAAATCGTCATTAGTCTAGTGGTTTCATATTTTTCCATATTGCAAAAAAAAAAAAAAAAAAAAAAAAAAAAAAA